ATCTGATGTTTCTCATCACGATCAAAACTATAAATGATGTAAGTTTTTGGGCAGTTTGATGTTGCAAGCTTTCGTCCAGTGGATGCTAGACGTATTAATTTGAAGAACTTCTGTAGAAGCTTCAAAAAACAATTCATCGAGGCATTGGGCCGGCTTCTCTGCCAGCCGATATTTTCATCTTGTTCGATACAATAGCTGCTCCTATTGAGGACTTACTGCATCTGAAGGACATAATGTTAAATAAAAGAAGGTATTTCATGTGTAATTGTCTGATTTGAGCCCTAATAACGTGTTAATAAAGCTTTTTTGTTCATCTGTAATGAAAACCATTTTCCTGGGAATTTTTGTTGTTAGTTTTAATGGTTGATGGTCAAAGTCACACCAGTCAGTGAGTTTCTACCCACATAAAGATGCCAAAATCCTATTTTATCCTTCAAAAACCTTCCGACTGTAATAAAACGCCCAACAATACTAGCCTTATGCAGCCTTTCAGAAGACCTCTATCAAAGTGTCTTGGCGAAACCACGTCTAAGAAAAAGTCTGCGTCCGAGTCGAGCACAGTTACGTGACCCGGCGCTCTGATTTATTGCACATATTAGGAGAGCAGCCCTTGACTTGAACTTGTGTAGAAGATTGGGATAAATAGAGGCCCTTTAGGAGGGCGAACCTGATGTCAGAGAATGTGCACGGTCAATTAAACCCATAAAGCAGCTTATTTCAGTTTTATCACCGTGGTCTGTTGCAGGGGAATGGGGCTGAGAAAAAGTCCACCCACCTACCAGAGCTGATGTGTGTGTTTAAATAATGCTAAGCCAGAGGGAATAGTAATTGAAACTTTAACGATGCTGTGCAGTTTAGTGTAATATGTAGTTTTAAAAATTGTGGACTTTGTTTTTATATTTATGATTTCTTTCATTTATTTATTCTATTATTTTTTAATACAAATTTTGATTCCGGTTCTATAGCAATGACTTAATTTTTGCAGTTTCCTTCAAGATGTTTAGGGCTTTGTAAGAATAAACTTAAATAAACTTATGTTGACGTGAAGCACATTGAGTTGCCACTGTGTCTGAAAGTGCCTCGTCTTGTCTTGTGTACACTGTCTGGCCAAAGAAAGCCGCCACCTGGATTTAACTAAACAAATCGGTAGGGGCCTCCTATTGGATAATTAGTGCATGGGTGATTGTCTTTCAGCTGCAACAAGTTATTTAACCCCAACTTGTCCAACGAGTTGCTTCTCATTTCTTAAGCAACCATGTAGAAAGACACATCTGGTGGTCGTGGAAAAGATGTTAGTCTGTGTGAGAAGGGTCAGATCATTGGCATCAAGCAGATAAAACATCTAAGGAGATGCAGAAACGACTAAAACTGGGTTAAGAACTGTCCAACATGGTTAAAATCTGGTCAGATGAGTCCAGATGGACCCTGTTCCAGAGTGATGGTGCATCAGGGTAAGAAGAGAGGCAGATGAAGTGATGCACCCATCATGCCTAGAGCCTACTGTACAAGCCTGTGGGGGCAGTGTTATGGTCTGGGCTTGCTGCAGTTGGTCAGGTCTAGGTTCAGCAACAGGATGTGCTTCAAGAATGAGGTCAGCTGACTACCTGAATATCCTGAATGACCAGGTTATTCCATCTTCCCTGATGGCACGGGCGTATTCCACGATGACAATGCCAGGATTCATCAGGCTCAAATAGTGAAAGAGTGGTTCAGGGAGCATGAGACATCATTTCACACATGGAGTCCAGACCTTAACCCCATAGAGAATCTTTAGGATGTTCTGGAGAAGGCTTTGTGCAACGGTCATCATCAGTGCAAGATCAAAAACTTTTATTCAACTTTATTATTTTCTTCCCTTTAAAAAAAGATACTAACGAGGTTTAAGTGAGTGGTGCCTACTAAAGGTGAATGAACCAGGAGGCATTTTTCTTCTCAAAAACAGAGTAATAGATGTATGGGGACATCTGCTGGGTCTGACTTGTTCACACAACGTGATAAGAAATGGTTACGTATCCAGAAGATCCTGAGCGATTTGTGGAACAAGTACACTATGACCAATGTTTTATTATGGGTACATAAATGTGACCTTTGGGTTTTCTGTAAACTGGAAATTAGGGGAAAAAACATCTTTACTAATATGCACTTACATGGGCTGCATATCAGGACAAGAAATTGCGTTTCAGCTTTTTATAATTATAAAGTTTGCTATTTTGTATGTTTTTTTCTCCCTTATCACATCAAAATGATCTGAGGCTGATCAATTTTGATTGTTGTTTAAAAAAATACAATAATAATAATAATAATAATATCTTTGGTAAAATCACTGGTCCAAATAGCATTTTAATTATTTTACACATGTATAAACTATATAATATATTCTATATTGATGGTTACCTTGATAAGAAAAGTCTGCCTGAAATAATTGCACAGATTCTTCCTGCTGAAGCCAGTCAATCTCCACTGCTTCTGTATGTGTCGATGTAAACGTGAGAGCAGCTCGTCTCTTGATGCCGAGGCCTTCAGTGAAATCAGGTGAAATAAAGCAATAATATTCCTTCTTTTATCTCTCCCTTTCATCCCAGATCCCGGTGACAGTCCTCCGGTTCTCCTCATTGGTGGCTCTGATCGTGTTGTCATCTCCCATCTAAATGGAACAGGCCTTCAGCCCCTGAGGTCTCTAAGTGTAAATGGAACACTAGCATTAGATTTTCAGCACAGCCAGGAAAGTGTATGCTGGACTCTATCGACAGAGTCCTCTGGGCAACTCCGCTGTGCTGTAATGAGGAATCTACGAGGACTCACCCAGGAAAAGGAAATACGAACGCAACTAAGTTTACAGCGTAAGTTTTGGGTTGAAGATGCTTTGTTTCACTGTGCTGTCTCGCCGTTGCTGCTCTGATGACTTTCACTCTCTCTCCTGAAACGGTGAGCGCTCTGATTTACATGAGGAGGGAGAAACTTCTCAGCGAAGACAATAGTCTCTCTCTCTCTCTCTCTCTCTCTCTCTCTCTCTCTCTCTCTCTCTCTCTCTCTCTCTCTCTCTCTCTCTCTCTCTCTCTCTCTCTGTCTCTCACACACACACAGGCTCCACACGTTTTGCTCTATCTCTCCTCTTCATGCGGCAAGTCGCCTCTAGCTTCTCATTATCTGTGCAGTTTAAGAGAGGTTAGCCTCAGCAGTTTCAGGATTCACCTTTATCCTGCAGCTGTCACTCCTGTCCGCCGGCGACACAAGCACTTCTCCATCAAAACCGCTCTTTATTCTGCTTTTTCCAGTTCAAACCGCTAAATAACCGCTAAATACGTTAATCACAAATTACACCACAGCTGCAAAACTTCCAGCAATCCCTTTATTCTTCAAAAGCTTCATTCCTGTTACAAAACGTCAGCATAGGAAGTTTGAGTCCACACTAGATACAATCTTTTTCAACAGTAAGGACTCTCTGTAGATGCGGTGTAATTTAAAGAAGTGCTACACTAATTTCCCCATCACACCGATGGCTCTTTATCCTGGGAAAGACGACGACTGTCTCACAGGGGGCTGCTTGGAATTTTATAAGAATGCCTCTTAAGATGTCATTAGTTCTAATTCTTCTGGGACTTTCAGGCAAAATTCATGTGTTTTTTAAAATAGATTTTTGAATTTTAGACATCTACATCAAGCTACATCAAGGTGACATCGGGATTAGAACTATTATTTTAGGAGCTTCTCCAGGGAACAAAAGTTACAGCATCAAGGCCTCCTGCTGCTTTTGTCTGATCCTGATGTTTTTTTAAGTTATTAATATAGAAGATCTTGATTTTGATCTTGGCTGCTTTGCATAGTAAAGGTGCAATAGGCAAGACTTTTACAGTGACTTAATAACAAATGAGTCTAATGTCTCAATCATGTTAAAAGGAAATAAACTGAGTTAGACATTAATTCAACCATTGGCTAACATTTCAACATGCAAATAAGGTGGATAGATGTCACGTAACGTTCACTTAACATTGTTGGTTTAGCGTCTAGGAAACAACAGAGAATGTCTTCGGGTAGTAGAAGCTAACCGTTAGCATTAGCGACTCACAAATTTCCTTCAGGTTTGTGTTATTTGTGGAAATAAAACGCCAAAGTTGCAAAACAGTCAGTGGTAGAGTCGTGTTACACTTAGCCAATCAGATGTCCAAATATCAGGAAAGAAGACTCCAAAACCTGCCGCCTGAAGCTCAGCTCTGATGTCGCTCACTTTGAGTTCCTGAAAATGGTGCACCAGTGTTGTTTCCCCAGATCTCAACTTACAAGGCATTCATTCCTACTAGAGACAACTGCAAATTTATTGATTAACTCATTCACTGCCATTGATGACTAAAGTCGTCATTTGCATTTTTTTTTTTACTGTTTGGGCATTGGAACGAGCCCCCGCGCTGAGAGAACAAACATCTCAGCTCTAAAGCCGATCTTCATCCGCATACGTCACACGTCACATGATCAGCAAGCAGAAAATACATGTGTTAGGAGATCGTTTTGGGCTGCTGCTGTAAAAAAAAAGTGAGGCGCGAACCGGAAAATCGTCTGCCGGTCACAATTCAACAACGAATTATGAAAGAATGGATAACACTCGAAACGCGTGGATTCTTTCTGATGTAAGAGGCGAGTCTCTGCCTTTTTTGGTTGTTTTGGCATCGACATCATCCTACCGCACAACGTTCTGTGACTCTTAAAAAAACAGTAAAAAAAGTGAGAAACGCTGGCAGCAAAGGGTTTTACCGATCGGGAAACGGCTGGCAGTGAATGAGTTAAACAAGTGTTCCACACCTTTAAAGTTGAAAATAATTCACATGCAGCAATGGATTTTGGGAAGCCCGAAGTGTGGATCAAAGGTGCAAAAGGGGTGGGGTCAAGGTCCACACTTGAGAATTGGAACATGCGACACACTTGCACCACTAGATGGGACTGCAAGGAAGTACAATTGGGACAGGTGCTTAGTGTTTGTTTGCAATTTGCCCCGCCTCCATACTTCCTGTTTCCAGAACCAGTCATATGTAAGCCCGAGATGTTGTCAAGTCTTCAACACAAACACAGCACCGACATTTGTAATTCGACACCGGTCTGCAAAAAGCAGCAGAGTTGAGGAAACAATGGAAACCAGTAACTGGAACGGCCAAGAAGTTTAGAATTAGGAATTAGAATTAGAAAAATAAACACTTTGATATTAAAGTGAAATGTATTCATGTACATCATTGTGCTTTATCTAGAGCGTTAGCTTTTTCTGCGTTATCTATTCTGGCGCTGAACGGTAAATGGCAACCGGCATGAAATTCACAAATGGGAGGGTTGGAGTGGCTGAGAGCAGTTTTGTTTGAATACACAGATTGCAGTAACTGAATTTAACCACATGATGTCACTCCTACTTTATGCACCTTTAAGTTTAATTCCAAGTATTTTTTTGTTTGTTTGTTTGTTTGTTTCTTTGCAGATGTGGAGCAGATGGCCATTGACTGGCTGACTGGGAACTTTTATTTTGTCGACCGTGTCACTGACAAGATATTTGTTTGTGACCTCGGCGGAGAGACTTGTGTCACCATCCTACAGCTAGACCTGCTGAATCCTAAAGGAATAGCCTTGGATCCCCTCATGGGGTGAGTTTATGTGATACTAGAAAAGTCATCTACCCTGAAAGCTCTATGTAGTCATTTGTCATCGTTTATCTCTAGTAAAGAACAGAGCAAATCATCAAGGGCATAAAATGCAACAGCCCATTTATAAAAAGACTCAGCTTAGGAGGATGTTTCATTAAAAGGATTGAAATGATTTCCTGTCCTTTGACTCAGCTGTTTTCCCTTTGAGCTGTGTAATTTAGTGGGTAGCTGATGCGCCTCTGACAGCTTCTACTGTCCAGACTTTCGTCTGTATTCACTGATTTCAGCACACATGCCACAGATGAAAATGGCCCCGCAGGACTTTCCATTACAGGATTCTTTTTTGTCTTTGAAGATAGACGAAAACACATTTTACTCTCAGGCGAAACGAACATTTTACCCTACGCGGCTGACAGTCTCCAGGATCACAGTTTATTTTGTAGGATTTATAGTATTTTTTACTATGACAGAGTGCAAAAAAGCAGCAAATCATTTAAATAAACTGCATGCACCAACTGTATCAAACTGTGAACCAATTATCAGCAACTCGCTCCCTTTCTGCTTTCGTAGTTCTGGTTAGCCAGGAAGCAGCAGGGCTGGTTGATTGCAAGGACACAAGGGTGGACGGTGAACTCGGACTCAAAGCAGCGACGTTTTAACAAACCTTTTTTTCTAGAAAGCAGCTTTAAAGTTAACAGCAGTGGCAGGCCTGTTCTGGGAAGACAGAGTGTGTGTAATTTGTACTGATGCTCGTGGCAAAATAACGATCATATTCAAACGTCGCTGATAATGGAAGCACCTTGCTGCTGCCGCCCAGAACCAGTTTGCCATTCAGTCATGACCGTCCCCCTTAAGGCCAAGATGAAACACTATAAATTTAGCATCTTAACACGCTGCATAATTAATCTGAAGGTTGTCGCAGAACTGCGGTGCCACTTTGTTGGTTTCTCTTTTAAAACCTGTCTCTGAACAATGTGGGCTGCCATTAAGGCAGTGGGTCTAATCAGAAATAATTTGCTGTTTTCTGGGGGGGTTTTTTTAATGGCATGGCCATTTTTGGTTTGGCTGACTGCATTTCTCCTCTCATTAAATGCAGGTCAGCCACTGGATTATGCCGTGCCTTCGAGTAAACATGGAACACGTTACTGCTTCTCTTTCAGCTGATTCCCTGTGAATCCTCGTTTTGATACCCTTCTTCAAGTCGACGTGTTTTTATGAGGGATTCTGTTGTACTCGAACGCCTGCTCTGAGTTTAAGTTACCGACTAGATTGACTGCATAAGGCTCAAGTTTTTGAAGCACTCCTTTTGACTGTAATTGATGAGAAATAGGTACAGCTGTTTCTGAAGCAGTGGGCCTGAGAGAGGTCTGTCAGCCTGGAGCAATGGAGTGAAAACAAAAGAAATGAGGGAGGTGTGAGATAAGGGCACAGCAGGAGGAACGGTGTTTATAGAGTATGCCCTGGTTTGGCTCTTTTTTTTTATTCTTGTTTGACTCACCTGACATGTCTCTGCCTCGCTTATTGTTGGACATGCTCTTTTAACTTTGCTACACAGGACAGGCCTTTGATGGACAATCGTTTCTTCTTTGATGTTAAAGACAAAAGTGTGATTGGATGTGCTTTTTGGTCCATCAGGGAAAATTTTCATCACTAGCGCTACAAAATATGAAACCTCCTGTCAGTTGCATTTTTAAATATTTTTTTTTTACCTTTTTGGGTTGTAATAGGAGAAAATACTTAAAGACCAAGTTCACATAGTAACAGTTTTTTAATTCAGTCAGAGTTTCATATACTGCCTGAATGGGAAAATAGTCTTCTACCCTTATTTCCTGCATTAGCCGCGAATATAAAACAGACGGGGAAACACTCGGACTAGAAAAGTCAGTCACATGTTTGCCACATTGCTATATTAGCATTCATGGACTCACTCTTCTTGGTTTTTAATGGGAAAAGCAGTTTTTTTTTTATTTAGCATCCAGGAGGGAGCAGAGCAAGTCTTGGCTAGTAGAAGCTAACTGTTAGCATTAGCATCTTCAATGCACAGCAGAACTCCTCCAGGCTTGGAGATAAAATATCAGTGTTAGCCTAGAATCTAGACCCTCAGTTTTGCCAAAGCAAAATGATCGGTCTAGCCATTAGAACCAAAGCACCCTGGACGTCTGTTGCCGGTCCAATCACAGCGCTTTATCTGTTTGGTGGGCGGGATGTTGCTTCTTATTTGACAGTGTATGGCGGACTGCCCCGTGACTGCCATCCTTAGCGCTCCAATCGCAGCGCTCTAATGGTTTGGTGGGCCAATAACAGCACTCTGTTGGTGGGCAGTATGTTTCTAAAGGAAAAAAATAAAGATGGCGACTGCTCGTTTTAAATGGCTTTGGCGTTAACTTTTGACTAATTAGACTTGGGCTTTTCTCTGACTCAAGAGCCGCTAGAGGTACTTAAGTTTATTTAGAAAAAGGGTGAATTTGCATCTTGTAATAGAGACCACTGACCACAAATGTGTTGAGAAAAATGAATTTTTCATGGTCTTTAAAAACATCTTGACTAGCTGCCAGGATAATAATTATACCATGCCAGAACTGGATTTGTGTCACTTGTACTTTGCGATTGTTTATATTACTAACACCAAACTCATTTGTTTGACATATTCCAGATCAGAAATTCACAATTTACTGGATGATGTAACTTGATGTGACATCAAGGGATCACTAAGTTTACTGATTATAATTTATTTTTGCCTCTCCGAGTATAAATGTCAGCTCTAAACTTCACTGCCATGTTTTTGATATTTGTTTACAAATTTCTCAGAGGATGACTGATGGCCTCCTGCCAGTGGTGCTGAAGTCAGTCAGGGGGGTTGAAAACTTGATTTCTGTTTTCTGGAAATCTTATAAACAGGAATTCAAAAGACTTGTAGTCTGGAATCTGAATAATACTTTTCCAGAACTCATGTCTGTGATTTTTTTTATTTGTACTTTTTTAGCAGAATTTTTTACAGTTAAAAAAAACAGTTTCCAGAGAAGATTATAAATTAAGTTGCACAATAAATCTGACCATTAGTTGCTGCATATGGATAGCAAAACTTAAACACACACAAGTGTGTGCATGCACACACACACACACACACACACACACACAATCCAGCACAAACTAAACTTTAAATTGATCGACATTAGTAATCCACACACAGCCATTCTAATGTTTAACTCCAAGGCAGCTGCCACTTTTCACTTTTCCCGTGCAGTTCCTGTTATCATGGGGCCTCATTTGTAGAATCCTACATGGATCTTCTTGTGACAGTGGAACAAAGAAATACAGCATCAGCACCATCCTAATCCCAGAAAGCAATCATTGATATGCCACAAGGATGTGCACCTGTTTGGGGTGTTGAGCTCTCAGCTGATGCAGGCATTTTTTTTTTCAGTGCAACCAGGTCCAGAGTTCAAAGGTCAGCCCATCTCTCTCATGGCTTGACTTGTGCAGATTAAGTGAGCTTCCTGTCATACCTCTTTTTGCTGTAGCTTGTTATCCAAGGAAACTATTGGAGCTCTGGTGGCACAGAGAACCAGCAAAAAATGCACGGCAAGGCTTTTGTAATAGTTACTGAATGTGCAGACTTAGCCACTTTTAAATCCTAAAGCCAAATTGTGTAAAGTTTTTGCAGTAAATATTCTTTAGTGGCATTTCTAGTAACTCCCAAAACCTCTTTTAAGAATAGAACTATACAAGATATTTCAGAGAATTTTTGCAAAGTAGTGTATTGTGCAAAGTAGGTTTGATGGAAATATAGTTAAACATAATTTTAAAAAATTGAGAATATTTATGTGTTAAAGAAAAAAAAATCCTTAACTCATTCACTGCCATTGACTACTAAAGTCGTCATTTTAAATCCAACCATTCACTGCCAATGACGACCAAAGTCGTCCTTTGCATTTTTTTTACTGTGTGGGCGTCGGAACGAGCCCCCGCACCGTGAGAACAAACATCTCAGCTCTAAAGCCGATTTTCATCCACATACGTCACACGTCACGTGATCAGGGAGCAGAAAATCCATGTGTTAGGAGATCGTTTTGGGCCACTGCTGCAAAAAAAAGTGAGGTGCGAACCGGAAAAGCTTCTGCCGATCACAATTTTACATTGGCTTATAAAAGAACGGATAATGCTCGAAACGCGCTGATTCTTCCTGACGTAAGAGGTGAGTCTCCGCTTTGTTTTGGTTGTTTTGGCGTCGACATCATCCTAGCACGCAACGTTCGGTGACTCTTAAAAAACAGTAAAAACAGTGAGAAACGCTGGCAGCGAAGGGCTTCACCGATCAGGAAACACTGGCAGCGAATGAGTTAAAGGTAGGGTGAGATGCTTGGTCATCTGGGAGGGGCTTGGAGTAGATCCGTTGCTCCTCCACATCGAGAGGAGCCAGGTGAGGTGGCTTGGGAATCTGGTTAGGATGCCTCCTAGACACCTCCCTAGTGAGGTTTTTGGTGCAGATCCAATAGCAAGGAGACCTAATTGAAGACCCAGGACACACTGATGGAACTAGCCCTGGAACACATTGGGATACCCCCAGAGGAGCTGCCCAAGTGGCTGGGGAGTCTGGGTCTCTCTGCTTAAGCTACTGCCCCTGTGACCCAACCCAGATAAATGTAGGAAAACTAATGGATCAGGATGATCTCAATGATTTAGAGAGATCACACTCATAAGTGAAATTGAGTCGGTTGCCATATTTCCCAGAGTTAGGAAAGAGGGAAAAAGCATTTGGTAACCAGTCCAGTCATTCTCATAATCCAGCAATATTCCAGTAACTTTAGCTTAGCATAAACGATGTAAGTGAATGGTAACAGCTAGCATTTCGTATGAAAAAGTCATGAAAAGTACTCAATAATCATATCCACTGCTAATGTAAATAATGAGAAATAGGGAATTAGACTTGGGACTACATCACGACAAAGCAACGCATTAAGCCAACGCTGCAAGGCACAAGGTCAGGGGCGGGGTTAAGGCTGGCTACTAGGGCTCAAGCCCTGGGCGTTTTTCAATCCTATATCCGCCCCTGCTCAAGGGCATGACGCAGCAGCACCAAAGTCACCTGATGTGTCTGTCATGTACTCGGCCATTTTTAGTGCATCTTTAGATGCTGTTCCTTCAAAAAACTGTACTGAGCTGTACTAGAAGCCACACATTTATGCTTTCTGTAGTGTTTTTGAATCTGAATGGTTGAAATGCCAGCTGTTACCAGTCACTTACATTGTTTATGCTAAGCTAAAGTGCCAGAATACTGCCAGATTAAGAGAAATACTTTAACCTGTAATAATACATGTGCTCATATTTTGACTTGCAGCTAAAAAGACTCATCAAAATGTGAAAAAATGTATTAAACATGTCAATCTGTGTTGAGATAATAAATGTCTTATAAAATAAATAGCCAATAGAAAATAGAATTACATTCAAAGCAAAACAGACTTTTTTCATGGTATTTATTCATTTAAACACTCTTTTCCTCCACAGTATGATGTTCTTCACTGACTATGGGACTGTGGCCAAGGTTGAACGCTGCAACATGGATGGCACTAACCGCACCCGGCTGGTGGATTATAAAATTGAGCAGCCCACCGCTGTAGTATTGGATGTGGTGAAGAAGCTGGTGTATTGGGCAGATGCCTACCTGGATTACATTGATGTGGTGGATTACCAGGGCAGGAACAGGCACACCATCATCCAAGGGAACCAAGTGAGTGTCACATCTCACAGTAAGCACAGGGTTCCTTTGTCTTCCAAGGATTATGAATTCTAAGGAGCTATTATAGTCAATCAGCTCCATATTTCTCCATTTTTAAATGAAAATAAAAAAGAAAGTAATATATGCTGGAGGGTTCTTGGGTATTTCTTTCTCTCTCCTTTTTTCAATTAGGGCACCATGCTACAAGACAGGTGGTACATTCAATGCTGGGTGTCATAAATCACTCTTCATTTTCATAGAAAAGGTCTTTTGAAACTTTGATGATTTATTAAATGGAGCGAACTGAGTCACATGTGGAGCAGTCTTCGAAATGAGCATATCAATAGTCTCTCCCCTGTAGTACACTTTCAGTCCTTTCATCACAAATTATGATTATTCATTAAAAGACTATAGCAACCAACTTGGACTGGAAATTTACCCTTTATGAGGAAAGAAGAACATATATTTCAAGTGCTTTATTATGTATGCAGGTGTTCTTTGCATAATGTTGCCTTGTTCACATTTGCTTGTGCCCTCATTAGAGAGAGAGGATCTTAATATCTTTGCATCTACATATAAAAGTTCATGCAGAGCCTTGGTTTCTTTTTTCTTTTAAGTGACAGACTGGATTTTTAAAGTTATACCTAATAGTGATTGTGGTCGGAATCAACAATTTTTATCACTGCTTTACATTTATTTAAATTGAGTTAATTTCAGATGTCTTTGTTCTCACAAATTCGGGAAACATTATTTTTGCTGTTAGTTTTATTAAATTTTCAAAAATGAAGCATTTATTTTATTGGTGGGTTGTAGGTTGACTTGCATTTCAAGCTTATTTTTTATGCTTAAATTTTCACTGTTAAAAATCCAACTTGCAATTTGTTTGGAGAGTTTAAAGTTTTAAGTCAGTTGAACGTTTTAACTTGCAAAATGTTAAGTTAATACAGAAAAAAACAGTTATCTCCACTGTTGACTGAACTTAAAATTGTATTGCAACTGGTTGCTTTACTTTTTTAAGTTCACTGGACTTTTTTTTACAGTGTACCAGCAATGCAAAGAAACAACAGTCACACTTTTGTTGGCTATATTTTTGTAATTGCATGGGCTCAACAAACAAATAAAATATGTTTTAAACTGTTTAAATGGAATTTGTATTAACATAGTATTTCCTATTTAAGAGAAAAATGCACTTGTTTAAAAAACATGACATTTTTATTGCAAGCTAGTACAGTTTTGCTTAAATTACACTACTTTAAATATACAGTATATCAGACATTGGCCATTTTTTAGTATGCATACTCGTCTGAACGTGTGTACTCATGTTCTTATGAACGACCATCAGTGCTGGCCGAAGTATTGTTCCAATGTTAATGTATCGTGGCAAGTACGCTCAAAGTTCCCGGGTGTGTTCTTGCTCCACCTGTTGTATCGTGGATTTGGGCCAGCAAGGCATCCCATAATGCATTGTGTCGCAAACTGTTAACCTCATAAATGTTATGTTTTTATATCAAAATTAGAATAATTTGGTCCAATTTAATCAATTTTAAAATAGTCTTTTATTATAGTGTGTAACCTGTAAAATTTGCTGTATGTGCTTTTTTCTGACTTTTCACAATACCTGAAGATGCTAATTAGCTAACCCACCATCAAAATAAACCAGCGTTGCTTTAAAAAGCTGTTTTGAAGAGAATAAATTTTTTTCCTTCTGTAATTTTAGGAATTTTTGTAAATTATAAAAGATAACAAATGGACAAAATAGCATACAAATAAAATTTATTCATTGTTATTTTGTTATTTATGGGACAAACTAGACTTTTGAAAATTTTTCCAGATACTTTTTTAAATTATCGCATAAAGTATCTGCCGTTACAACGAAGTAACAGGAGTATGGCTCTGCTCCAAATGCCACACTTATCCTCCTCTACTCAGCAGAACCACTTTTACTGCTGAACTTCCCTATTATGTACTTGTTACATTATGATTACGTGTTCTGGTGAACTGTTGTGCATGTTTAACCTAACCCCTTTTTGAATTTTATTGACCTTTTTTGTCTTTTCCCTTTTTTTAAAACCCCTATTTTGTGTATTTTGTTACCGCATGTTTATAAAAAATGACAAATATGCATTAACTGTGCAGTTAAAAAGCATGCAACAACACATGTGCATTGTGTGCGTGTCTGTGTGTGTGTGTGTGTGTGTGCACGCGTGCAGCTGCCTGCCTGCAAGCGTGTGTGTGTGTGTGTGTGCTTGCTTGAAAAGTAAAAAGTGTTAAAGCAGAATTCCACAGAGAAAGGGAGAGATGGTTGAGTGGTTTGCTTCTTCCTTTATTTTTCTGACGCATGTTTCCTGCTGGCCCTGATGTTTAAGTGTGGGCCAGTGAGCTTAGGTGTACTTCCTGTGAACATAGCTCATCCAACCATGCCACTTTGTGTGGGTGTCAGCCTGTTAAATGTAGCATGGAGGCTGTTGTGTCAGGGCCAGTGGTCTCCCACTAGATTCCAGCTTTTGACCCTGTATGGGCTACCAAATGTACCAGATAGCCACACCGCCATTCCCCACCCCCTAATGCCTGATGCATGTTAGCAGATACGTTTTCATTGATTCTGTGTTTTTGTTGTTTTCCTGTTCCTCTAGTGGGTTGGATTATTTTTTGGATTCCAAGAAATGTGAAAAAAAAAAGAGGCGCCATGGATTTTTCTTGTTTTTCAGGTGTCGTACATATATGCATTTGCTGTGTTTGAGGACTACCTCTATGCTATCCACTCTGACCCTTCCAAAGGGAGTTCAACTGTGGAGCTGCTGCAGGTGCACAGATTCAACATCACAGAAGACAGCAGGACACTGGCCAGCCTGGGGAATTCTAGGGGAGTGCATATTTACCACAAACTCGCTCAGCCAAAAGGTAAAGGACATTTCCCATTAAGTAAACATTTGCAAGCATGTTTCATGACTCAGCCCATTTGATTTGAGAGATAGCATCTGATAGATTTGTTTTTTTTTTCTTTTTCTTTTTCTTTTTTTTCTTAAAAGGATGCTTCACTGGATTGCAATGATTTGTTGTCTTCTCTGGTTTTGCCCACAGTTAGGAGCCATGCTTGTGAAATGGATTCATATGGAAAACCAGGAGGGTGTTCCCACATTTGTCTTCTGAGTGGAAGTTACAAGTCTAAAAGCTGCCGCTGTCGAATCGGCTATCGCCTGGGTTACGATGGAAAATCTTGTAAAAGTTAGTGCATATTCTTTCAGATTTTATTATGCAAATGTTTATCTCGTAGCAAAACAATGAAGAGAAAACCCACAATTATTCCTAATCTTTTTAAAGATGTTTAGTTTTTTAGAGTCCTGTAATCTTTACAGTTGTATTTGTCATTTGTGTAGCCAATTCTCACTTTCACAGTTTTTATTACGCAGTAGTAAAAGTGTCTGCTTTTATAAAATTTTATATCATGCTCTGGCCTAATGAAAATGGTAAAGACCTTGGGTTGAATTCACTTATTGTAACACATGAGCTCAGATGAAGGTTTTTAAAGGTCCTGGTATAAAATCGTTGTGCATTGGCTTTATGCAACGCCTGATGTTAAGAATAACTGAGACTGACAAGTGCAGCCGTTGTCTGTACTTCACTTCGATGCTTCTTTGTTCATCATTGTGCTTTACGCCTCTTTGTCCTTGGGATTGAGTCTTCTGTGAAGGTCTAATTTGTGGTTCAAGCTAACTTTGAGCTATTTTGACAAATGCAGAGCATCACTTTAAAGGTGTGGTTGACTGAAAAACAATTTTTAATGAATACTTCAGATTATAATCAGTTAGAGTTTAATGCAGGCTGAACATGAAAATAGTCTCCTACACCTATCTCCTGCATTAGCTTCTCAAAGACAGTGAAACTCTAGGATTAGAAAAGCATGACCACTCTATGTCACATTGTTAATTAAACATACCCAGATTGACTCATTACAGGAAAGGCTTTTGGTTTTTTTGGCGTCCAGAATCAGCAGAGAACGTCTCGGTCAACAGAAACTAACCACTAGCTTTAACAACCCACTCACACGGCAGAAGGCTCCAGGCTTGTTGTTTGTGGAGATTAAACATCCATGTTCCCAATCAAATAGAATTAGTTGTAGAGTCACATTGATGTTATTCAGTGCAAGACAAAATGTCTAAAAACCAAGAAATAAGACTCCAAATGTTTCTATTTGATCAACAGCTCTGATGCCCCATTGCTGGGTTTCACATGACGTAGCATCCACGTCACCAAATTGGGGTATGGAAGTAGCTGGCGGTGCACAGAGCCCTATTTACTCTGTTGACTGGGTGTTAAAAGACAGAAATTCTGTGCGGCCTATTACAATCACTCTAATCGGGACAAAGACGAATGTTTCTTTCATGTCTTGAATGTAGTGCGCCACATAGGACATAATAAAAAAACCATACTGAAAGAAGACTGCAGAAGTGGATCAGTAATCTACGGCTTAAAACAGAAGCTGAAAATGAGAACTTACAGTGATCACTTTCTAACAGGTAATTCTAACAGAATTTAATTCATTTGAATAACTATATACTTGACTCTGTCTGAATTAATATGAAGTGTGTGTTCCCTGAATAGTCAAAGAACCTAGAGTAATCCAAATCAAATATTCAAAGATCAAACAGATTCATATTTCATTTTTATACGGAATATCCTATCTTATTGATCACTTAACAAGTAATGTAGCTAACCCTCACCGCTACATTACATTAATACTCGGACTTTTGGTACGCTACAACGGCCTTTCGTTGTACATGTAGAACAGCCAAAAGTAGCATTGGGATCAAATGAAACGGGGGAAAAAATCTGATATCAAGATTTTGTCAGTGGTTGTTATATCAGGTTCAGGTATCCTATCGTACATTTCAAACGTGAACTGGTTGTAAAGTAGTAATCAAGATTTTTGATTGAAAGGAATTTGAAGAATGACCAAATCAGAATCAGTGTTACTGGTTATAATTTAGTTGTAAGATATGACCAATGATTCTACCTTAGAGCTGAAAATGTTTTATTTTGGCAGCTAGCTTGAGCAACGTCATTGCTGTGAAAACCTTAGAGAGAACTTTCCACTGTACAGCAGCTAGATAATGTCCATTGACAGCACTTGTGATTAGGACAGTTTTGCCTAGTTTTTCTGCACATTTTAATACCTTGCCTGTAAAGGTCATGTGTCAAAATAGAGCTGTGGTGAGCATAGCCTTAGGCTGACTAATAAAGACTTGAGCTGGTGAATACAGCTCCATGCGAAAGGGATGTTCTGGTATCGACCTGTTGGAAGCTTGATAGATTATTGCCATAATGAGGTTTTAAGTTTCCCTGCATTTGTTGGCTGCTCTGATCAATCGCTGGACATTGTGCAGTTGACAATAAAAGCCGAAGATCAAATTGATGACACAATTTGAAGGCCTACCACATTTCGATCAGTGTAATGGGGGTTTGGGAGCTTTTGCATGACATTTGTGATTTATTCTCCTCTTCGTAGATGTTCCGATGACACCAGCTATCTCTCTTCTGCTCTTGCTTTCCATTCCTCTAAGCATAATGAGATTTGGTGTTAAATGATGTCCTTTTTCATACAGCAGTCACTGTTGGGGTTTGATATCTGGGTCTCTTGCAATGCTTAATTGTCTCCTGGGTAGTTGGTATCTCCCACACAAAATGATAAATTGAAGTGAGGCATGTGTGGTCTTCACCCCCAGCACCCTAATCTCTTGGGTAGGGGCTGAGAGTGGGGAGAGGTCTGCTCCTCTCAGTGGAAGCCCTACTTCATTCCTCCTTTGCCTCTCCAGAGGTTCCCAAAGGGTTTGAGAATATACATTCCCCTGCACCACTGGGAGCCCACTCAGGAGCTGCCTCAGCTCTCAGCTTCTCTGTTAGATTTTCTTACCAACCACCCAGTCCTTTCAGATCGGTAACAGTTTTCATAGCCAAGGTAACCATTGCAATCGTCTGTTTACTTAAGACTTGTCACTGCTTACTGGCTGCATTAAGGTGAATAGAAAGGCTCCAGAAAAGTTATTGGAACAATGTGGTTGGTAAGAGTGTTTAATGCAGGGGTCAGTGCTGATGAATTGGATCAATTAATGGACAATAACAGTAAAAAAAGGGATCTTTCCTTTTTTGCCTTGTAGAGCCCAAAACCGATTTCTTCCTCTTCTATGGTAAGGGACGTCCTGGGGTAATCCGAGGCTTGGATATGAACATCAAATCCGACGATGAGCACATGGCACCGATCGAGGACTTGGTCAACCCTCGAGCCATTGACTGCCATGCAGAAATTGGACACATTTACTTTGCTGACACCACCAGTTTTCTTATTGGACGTCAGAAAATAGATGGAAGTGACAGAGAGACAATACTCAAAGATGGTAAGTCGGAATTATAGTTGTACATGACATAGAGTTGTACCCTTGAGAAAAAAAACAGATTGTACATGGAGTGTTTTATTAGAGACCTCGCATACTTCTGCATGCTTCAAAAAACAAGAATTTTTATAATAAATGTACATCTGGGCATCTGTTTCTTGTATTAAACAATGCTCTTTCTGAACTAGGGTTTGTTTCTTTAAGAAAGTAAATGAGTAAGAACTTTGATTGAATATTAATGTATTTATTTATTTTTATTAATTTTGTTTCGCTTGGGGTGTTGATTCTGCAGAACTTGACAATGTTGAAGGTATCTCTGTTGACTGGATTGGAAACAACTTATACTGGACCAATGACGGGTACCGGAAGACGATCAGTGTGGCAAGGCTGGAGAGAGCCTCCCAAACCAGAAAGACTTTGTTGGAAGGAAACATGTCTCACCCTCGGGCCATTGTGGTGGATCCTATTAACAGGTAAGGCATATAAATAATGTTAAATGTGCCTATGACCTCAGTAAAGGCAACATGAAATATTTATATTTTATCATTGTGTTTAAATACAATTGAAATGAAAACTGTTTAACTGCACTATAAAAAAGAAATGTTTGCAGGTGTCTTCTCACCTACAACCTTGTTAACCACTATTAGCATTTTGGTGGCTAAGTCTTTGTAGCGATCACAGATGATCTCCTCTAAAATTCTGCTTGAGTTCCTCTCTGGTTGTATCTGCCAGCAGAGGTGGTAATTAACATACAGAGTTGATGCTGCAAAACTCCAATTCAATGAGTGTCTTAAGGATCTTAAGGATTAACACTTTAAGGCTTAAATCGTATTACCACCCACCAAATCCATAGCAGTCAGAGATTAGTTTTCAAGCCTCAAGGGATTGTTCCAAACATTTTGCTATACATAGCTGTTTTTTCTTGGCTCATACATCCAGTCACAACCCAAACTTGTTCATTCCATGTTGTTTTTCTTCATGTTTCCAACTTTTTTGCAAATAGCTTAAGATTAATTCTTACAATAAAAGTGTTGGAATCTGAAAATGACAGCAAAGAAGCATTTGTAAAAAGTAACAATATAAATATTTATAAACAGCATAAGAGGGCGACGGTGACACAGGAGTTAAGTGCTCGCCCCGTAATCGGAAGGTTGCAGGTTCGAGCCCCACTCAGTCTGTCACTGTCGTTGTGTCCTTGGGCAAGACACTTGACCCACGTTGCCTGCTGGTGGTGGTCGGAGGAACCGGTGGCGCCTGTGCTCGGCAGCCTCGCCTCTGTCAGTGCGCCCCAGGGCAGCTGTAGCTACATCGTAGCTCATCCCCACCAGTGTACGAATGTGTTTGTGAATGGGTGAATGACTGGTTGTGTTGTAAAGCGCCTTGGGGGGTTCCAGGACTCTAGAAGGCGCTATGTCCAATACAGGCCATTCAAATACAGGCCAAGACTGTGGTATGAGGATTAATAACTTTTATTGCAGCCCCCTCACTGTCAATAGGAATAATCAGAAAGGCTAGTTTGGGGCTTCGACAACATTCAGCCAGAGCCCAGTGGTCCTTTGATTGCTATCAGCTCGGCGGGATGAGTCCTTTTAGCTGAAATGAATTAACTTAACCAACTTTCTTGACTGACTTCTGAAAACCAAATTTACTGCTTTGCTCGATGGCTTTGCTCGAACCTTCAGTCTTTGCTACCAAAACAAGGGTCTGCTTTAAACCGTCACACCCTTGCCTTTTTATATACATCACAAATGTTGTAATGTTTTAAATGTGCTACCATGTTTTCCTCTAGTTTTTCTTTCCATCTCTTTGCCATATGAAAAAAGCAGTTAGCTGTGATTTAAAAACACATTTTAAATGTTTTATCTTTTTTATTCAATATTTTTCTACAAGTTTTTTCTTTTTTAATTGTTGGATGCTTAAATGTTTAAAGTTGCTCTAAAATGTTTATCCATGCTTAGAACAGAGAAAAAAGGTAAATGTTCATTTGAGTGTTTTTCAACTAGATCACGTATTTCATAAGTGTATTATTTTTAGGGGTGGGGCTTGATTTAAACATTTATCTAATTTATCAGAAGCTTTGAAATGAATTATTTTTGATTCATTGTGTTATAATTATTCAAGTATTTTTTTTAAATAAATAAAAAATAGTGAGGTACCAATGACATACCTACACTTTATTCAGTATATTTCTGTAACAACAAGGTTTATTTTATTACTTTGGTCTCATTATAAAGGTAACCATTGTGGGATTCGTTGGAATGTGTAAATATTAGTATATGGGTTATTGATAAAGTGTAAATGGACATGGAACTGTGTAAATGTTGTGTACCGAAGTGAACACTAGGTGGCAGCAGAGCACTGTTACTATATGTAGAGGTGTAGTGTAGAGTTCAGGGGTAGTTCTGTAGCCTAGTGAACTAGACCAACTTCTTGCTTTGCAAAGAATAGTCTAGGAACGCTCCAATGGAACATCTGCAGCTCCTACCAGGACTCTGGCTAGCCAATCACAGCTCTCTAGAGGGGGTTCAAACACACAAAGAGCTGTGATTGGTCCATAATGGCGGGCCAATCATAGTGCTCTATCTGCTTAGTGAACAAATCACAGAGCTTTATCCGCTTTGTGGGCCAATCAGGGCACTCTATATGCCTGGTGGGTGGGATGATGCAACAGAGTGAAACAAGAGTATGTCACATTCATTATCCAGTGGAATGCGGAGATCATTTGAAAGACAACGGTAGAACCCGCCCCACAACCGAGAGCCGTCAATGGAGCGTGGTTTAGAGCTGTTGCCTTGCAGCAAGAAGGTCCTGGGTTCGCTTCCCGGCCTGGGATCGTTCTGCATGGAGTTTGCATGTTCCCCCGTGCATGCGTGGGTTCTCTCCGGGTACTCCGGCTTCCTCCCACAGTCCAAAAGCATGACTGTTAGGTTAATTGGTCTGTCCAAATTGTCCGTGTGTCCGTGTGTGTGTGTGTGTCCGTGTGTCCGTGTGTGTGTGTGTGTGTGTCCGTGTGTGTGTGTGTGTGTGTGTGTGTGTGTGTGTGTGTGTGTGTGTGTGTGTGTGTGTGTGTGTGTGTGTGTGTGTGTGTGTGTGTGTGTGTGTGTGTCTCCGTGTTGCCCTGCAATGGACTGGCTCTCTGTCCAGGGTGTACGCCACCTGATTGCCCATTGACCGCTGGAGATAGGCACCAGCCCCCCCACGGCCCTACGTGGACAAAGCGGGTTCAGACAATGGATGGATGGATGGACTAATCCTCTTCTTATAGGATTACCAGAGTCATTTCAAAGTGTCATAGATTTCAACAGTGTACTATTTTTTTTAAATGAACCGAACAATAGGCAAAAGATCAATCTATAAACAAAACATAAAAAATAGGACCTTGTAGGAGTGGACGAAATAGAAAAAAGTATAACGATAACAATTTTTTATATTGATTTATATCGATAATGAAAAATATATTTTAAATTGTAGAAAATATATTTTACGTGCAGCCCTGGCCCTTTTTTTTGGCGTTTTTATTTTTTCGCCTTCTCTCGCTGAGACGTCTTGCTGCTTCATGCTCTGTTTTGGCTTGAGAAGGGGAGGGCCTGGTGAAGTGGCATGCCCGAGTCTGTGGTTTTGATTGGTTAGGAGTAAGTAGTGAGTCTAGTATGTGGCTACCTGATAGGTTATAATGAAAAAAGGTTAGGCTATAATGAAAAAAGGAAACTTTTTTAAATTGAAGTTTTAATGACCCTTTTGTTTCCTATCCACCACATGTCTATCGATAGATACCTTCAACTATTGAATTATCGTCCAGCCCTAGGATGGTGAAAAGAAAAAGACAAAGTACAAAACTTAAGTAGTAGTTTAAACTTCCGTCTTCTTGTGTTTTACTTTGTCTTTAAGTCACTGGTGTGTGCAAGCCAATTTTAATTTCATTTAAGCTAGTAGACCCTGCTCGTCCATGTGGAAAAGCTGAAGACTGACACAGTGGCATTAAACGCAAGGCAGTGTGGACCGTTGATACTGACTTATTTAAGTATGTCTTTTTTCTAAGGAAATAAATGAATAAAATACAAGATAGACTAGAGATAAACACAAATTATTAATGTTCACATCCTATTTGGCATTTTTAGCTTTGAAAACAAAAATAATTAATTTTCTTTATTAGATAAATAAGAAATAACTTATAATGGCGTTTCCACTTTTATCTTTAAATATGTTGGATGTGGCTTTACTTTATAGCCATCTATGTGTGTCAAGCTCCACACTAGTTTCACTCTAAAGGGACACTTTGGGACAACTCCTTCACATTCTAACAATTTTATTATGTCAGTTCAGTGAACATTAGGTTGATAACCTTCAAAGAACAGAGATAAGTGTTAGATGTCACATAATTTATATAAAATACAATAAACAAATAACTTTCTAAACTAAATCTTCCCACACTAACAGTGTAAACAATTAAATTAAAAGCATGACTTTAAAGGTCACCCAAAACAACTTCATATCATAAACAAAACAATAGTTACCAACCATTGGCGTCTTTAGAGTCGAATCATTGTTAGAGCTTGCTGTGCTGTTCCTGTTTGACTGAGGACTGAGAGCCACCACTCTGCATAGGTGTTTTTTTTTATCACCAATCAGTCGCCATTTTGTTGGTGCATTCTGGGAGATGTAGTTCTTAGTGGTGGTGGACCAGTTAGACCTCCATTTACTCAACTTTAACCCAACAATGTGTAAGCATGTGTGTGTGGCATGAGCACATTATCAATAATTTATGAGGTCATGAAGACCACTGGAAGTCAGACTTCATTCACCTCCACATCCCTTTTTGGTTTCATCTTGCCTGGGCCAGCCCTCTAGCATGATGAGAAACAGAGGACGCACGGCTCGGACTGCAACCCTCACTTAAAGCAAATCCCTAGGGCATGGTTACCACAGAAAGGGTTCAAATCAAAGTGTCGGTCCAGTCATGTTTCAGATACATCTGATTGATTCTGGGTTGTGGTCCAAGCAAATTCTACATTGCCAATTGTGCATCTTTTTATGTCATGAAGTTAGGACGACTCACTTTCACCTTTAGCCATCTGGTTATTTCAGACAAACATTCTTATAGTTATAACATTTGGAATTATCTCAATATTCTTTTGGGGAATGACTTTAATTATAAATGGTAAACATAGGTTATTTAGATTTTTCAGTTATGTCCAATTTAAAGAGTGTAACCTGGGCTTTCTGCCAGATGCATAAGTGGCACATAATGTTAATTGTTTTCCCTAAAAGCTCAAAAGTGCATCCCTACTCACCAGGAGTGTTTCAGACACCTGTATGAGCTGCAGAGCTTGTTGCCTTTGAAAGGGTTGTGCATAAGAAGTAGACCCAAAATATTAATTTAGCATAGCGATGCAACACTATGGTTCTGGGCGTGTCCAGGATGTGCTGCATCGTGGCTGGTGGAGAAACTCACTTGGACTCTAATGGCGTAGAC